TTTTTCTGATAGTGGTGATTTTGTGCTTATTGTGGTGAAACTTGAAGAATAAATTACATAATTATAAATTCATTGATTAGATTTCCTTAGCCTGTTGAGAAATATTTCTTTTCAGATTAAGAAGGATATCTGGAACTGCCAAGTAATGAATCAAAACGTCTTAAATGAAACTGCTCTTTTCCTCAAAAAGTTTTATATATCCCTATGTTTAGAACAATACATTAGTAGTTTATCGTTCCTCAGGTGGTTTTGTGGGGGGTTGTTTTTGTTTTGGTGGGTTTTTTTGTTGTTGTTCTTATTGCTGGATCATGGTTTAATCCCATAGAAGTGGGGAAACAAGAGCAAACATTCATTTATCCCTTCATTTATTCATTCAGCACCTATTATATATTCGAGGTAACCTAATCATTGACCTTAATATTGGCGAATGTAGTCTGGTTGGGGAGACAGATATGAAATATGGTATACCGTATTAAGTGCTTTGGGAGCAAGAAGGTAGATGAACTAACTTTGCTTCAGTGATTAGAGAACATTTTTATGGAGGAAGAACCCAAGGCTACTGCATTTCATAGTGTAGGTTCTGCCCTGGACAAGAGCAGCAGGCCAAAGGGGTAAGTGGGAATGAAATCAAGCCTCAAAGCCAGTGCCCAACCATCTGCCTGGTGAGGGATTGTGTCCACCTAGAGAGGATGGGGCTCTTTTCAGTTTTACAAAGGCATCATCTGAGTTGATCTTGGGCCAAAAGCAGCATTTGAGGTGGTGCTTAAAGCATGAGTAGGAATCAGCCAGACAGAATTCTGAGTAGGAAACTTATCATAAGTCATGGAAGCAACTGGCATGTCTGGGGAATGATGAGTTTAGTGGTTTAGATTTTATCTGTAGGGGTTAGAGGATTTACAGTACTTTTAATCATGGGAGCACTTTAATTCATGGCAAGTCAGCTCTCTCAGGAGTGTCGGGTAAACGGCACGGAGAACAGGAAGAACCCAGAGGAGGGGAGATGGTAGCCTTCACTACGACAGCAAGGATGCGATGGAGGAAAGGTCAAGGAACCGGCAAAGAGGTTGTGAGAGTGATGAAAGGGCCAGCGTTGACTTCACGGTTTTAACTCTGGATACCAGGGGAAGAGGTTTAGACTGGTTGGGGTGGGAAGGGTAGGTGCGCTAATGGGCACAGTTGGAAACACAGGAAGTGAAGGGTCTGGTAGGTAGTAAGAAAGAGGCAGAGGCTGTAAAGGCAGCCTTGTAAAGCACCAGCACATGTGATATGTAGTTAAAGTCATGGGTGTGAATAGGATCCCCTGGAGAGAGCATGTAGTGAGAAGAAAAGAACCTGGAATACTAGTTGGCAATTAGCAAGGCACCGGTGACTGTAGTGAGAGCAGTTTGAGTACAGTACTAGGGATTAAAGTCACATTATAGTAGAATGAAGATTAAATAAGCATTTCAGGATACAGTGGTTTTCATCCCCAGTTACACATCAGAATAATTACCTGTGAAGGTGTTTAAAAATGATCAGTGCCTGGGTCCCACCTCTCAATATTCTGGGTTAATTGGTCTTCTGTCAAGCCCAGAAATAAGTATTTTTTTAAAAATCTTCCCAGATAATATTAATGCAGAGTCAGAATTAAAAACCACTGCTCTTCACTGTTTTAAGGATTATAAATAAACCCCCATAGCTAGCAAGCATATAAGATGCTTATAATCACAGGGAATCAAAGAAGTATAAAATTTTTCAAAGATGAAGAATCTTGGTGTTCTATTAAACTGGCAACAATTAGAAAGCTAAACAATGCTTTTAGTGTTATTATTCAGTGGAGTACAGCAGCTCTTACACACCACTGACAGGCAGGTAGACTGGCATGACCATCCCGGAGAGCAGCTTTGCCAAATTCTTTGACCTAAGAGTTCTACCACTGGATACGCATCCCAGGGAAATCCTCCCATAGGGCCATAAGGGAACTTGCACTAGCATGGTCCATTGCAGGCTTCTATACAGCAGGAAGAACTGGGGTAATCTGAATGGCCTTCACTGTGAGAGTGGGTTGGGTAAAATTGGGTGGATGTACCCCATCAGAAGCATGGATTAGATACATAAAATAGTAACGTGTATATACCTGTGTAACAAACCTGCACATTCTGCACATATATCCCAGAACTTAAAGTATAATAAAAATAATAATAAATCAAGCTCAGTAAAATCTCAAGGGAATTTCAAAGTTTTCTTACGTATAGCACATTTTGGGACTAAAAAGGGAAAATCCATTAGGTTTTTTAATAAATTCATTTATTAAAAAAATAGTGGCCGGGCGCGGTGGCTCAAGCCTGTAATCCCAGCACTTTGGGAGGCCGAGACGGGTGGATCACGAGGTCAGGAGATCGAGACCATCCTGGCTAACACCGTGAAACCCCGTCTCTACTAAAAATACAAAAAACTAGCCGGGCGAGGTGGCAGGCGCCTGTAGTCCCAGCTACTCCGGAGGCTGAGGCAGGAGAATGGCCTAAACCCAGGAGGCGGAGCTTGCAGTGAGCTGAGATCCGGCCACTGCACTCCAGCCCGGGCTACAGAGCAAGACTCCGTCTCAAAAAAAAAAAAAAAAATAGTAACATGGATGGACCTTGGGAACATAATGCTAATTTAAAATATAGTAAACAATAGGAAACATAATATCACATAAAAATACACACAAAACAATGACAATATATGTTCTGGAAAAACACATTGAAATAAAAATCTAGACACTACATCATTGAAGTGATTGCCTACACATAAGAAGAAAAGGAAGCACTGATGAGAGGGAAGACGTTACATTTAAAAAGTGTGAATCCAAGAATGGATGAGATAAGAGGGAGACTAAAAGAAGAAGAGTGGTCAAGGGAAAGGGGTGTGTGTGTGTGTGTGTGTGTGTGTGTGTGTGTGTGTGTGTTTTAGTAGAAGGAAGAGTTGTAAGTGTGTGCATGAAATGAAGACTCCAATGCATTTCTCCCTCTTATTTATTCACAGTATTGGTAATAGCTGAGAGATGTGTCCAAGTAGTATTCCTTTCTTTGTTCTTCCCCAATCTGAAATTCATTTGATTTTTTCTCATTACTAAACCAGTGTGTGTTTGTTACAGATATATCAGAAAATTGACAAGCAAAACAGAAAGATCCATGAACCCACCCACCTAGAGACAGCGTCTAGATCCTTTCCTACAAATATGCTGCAAAGTTAAATTTTGTAACCTGAATGTATTTTTTGCTGAGCAGTGCTTTTTGAGCTTCTGTGTATTAGAAGACATTTGTGCAACTTCATTTTAAAGAACTGCATAATGTCTGATAATACAGATACACCATTATTAATGTCCACCTCCCTTCTTCTGGACATCAGTTATATTTGGTTTTGCCACCTCAAGCGCTGCAGTAAGCAAACATAAGCTACCTACCTTTGAAGACAACTTCCTATCTTTCATTTGGCTCATTTTTCAAAAGAGATTTAAGGATTGGATTTGAAATTGTCTCATAAAGTAAAATCCACTCAGCATTATCCAAGTCAGGGCACCAGTTCCCTTTGGAACTGTTCTGGGGCCAGTCAGGAATGTGAATGAAGGAACAGAGCCATTCCCCACTGTCTAGACACAATGTAGGTACTTGTCACTATGCCAAAGTGCAATATAGGCTCCTTGGTTTCTGTACTTTAATCAATGATGCACAATTAAATCCCATACATTGTTAAGTGAGAGAATGTGGAATGTGTACATTACCTCACATGTGATTGATTATTTCATGAGCAGGTGGTAAAATAGGATGCACTGAGCTTTTAGAAAATTGCAAGAAATCACTGTTTATGCTACAGGACCAAAGTAGGTTCTTACAGCAGTTAGCAGAACAAGCAAGCCCAAGGGAAAGCGCGGTGTGTTTTTCTGAGTATTTCCTACCCTGCAAGATTCCCCCAAACCAGTAGTTTTGGAGATTTAATGTAATCCTTCCAGTTGGTAGGTTTAAGCCTGAGAAATCCAGTGCCAGTGTTTCTCCAGGCTTTGATGGTTAGGAACTGGCCAGGCAGCTCTGCAGCCGCTTGTCAAGGCCCTGAAGACGTAGCCTGGCTGTTGGAGACAGGTGTCTTCATGGCAGGAATCCACTAACATTTCCAGATCATTAGTACAGCAGTTGTTATGCACGGTAGCAGAAGAAATGCACTTCTGTCTCTTCGAACTAGTCCTTTGTTGTCAAGAAGCTTTGAATAGTCAGAGCTGTTTCCAGGGCCCGGTTTGCAGCTCTTGAATGTATTCTCCGGCCTATGTATATATTAACACATCACCGGGTCCCAAAGAATTCGCACTGCACAGCGCTGTGCTTTTGGCAGACAAGGAAAAGCCTTCACATGAGTTACAGTTGATAGGGCAAGGGATGCTCAGGGCTTACAAAAATCCCTTCAGTGGCCCTGCTTAAAAATAGCAGTGTAGGCCATAGCTTAGTGTTTTGACAGTTTATATCAGCAGTTTTCTCGGCTGATATATTGATTGCAGTTTGGACTTCAGTCCTGCTGATCTAATAAAACATCACCGTCATAACAGAGAAAGCAAAAGGATCTTCTGTGGTCCCAGACACTTGGCAAAGTAGCTTTATAGAGTTTCTGTAAAGCTAGCTTTACTGCAATATGTAAAATGAAGCAACACTGGACAAGTTGACTATATTGTAATTTTTTCGTCTGTCAATGTAATGTATTAGCACTATCCTATATATTTTTACAAATAGGCATTTGCTCAAAGGAATATAATGATGCCTTCACAAATATGAAAATGAGTTTTGTGCATCATTATCACAAACAACCTAACAGTGTGTCAAAACTGCAATGCCCCTGATACTTAAGTGTGGAAACACACGAGGTCAACTGAGGTCTGAATTAAGCTTCAAGACATGTAAACATCTTCTACTGATAATTCTGAATGGATATTGTGGATATTTTTAAATCACCTGGCCTTCGACCCTACTTATGCTAAATATCCTTTAATTTCACAGCAATTGCTAACTATCCAAGAGGAGTTAAACAACAAAAAGTCAGAACTGGAACAAGCGAAGGAAGAGCAGTCCCATACGCAAGCATTATTAAAAGTCCTGCAGGAACAAGTAAGTGAATGAAACAGCTCCGATTTATGAATCAGTCCAAACACCCCAATGCCTGCCTGCCTCGTGCATCACCCGTGCAAACATTTACGAAGGTAATCTGCAGTACAGTTAGCCTGAACCCTGTCAAACCTCCTAGCAGCTCTGCTGTATGGAATTTATAACCTCATTTCCAGCATCGCTGTCCTCACTCCTGTACCTGTTTAGATTGCCCAGGCCTGCCAGTGTTGTGTGAAAGTTTCTTCCAGAAGACAACCAAATTTTGATAAAAGTTTCAAAATACTGGCAATGAGGTATGTTTCAAAGTAAGCAGCTGGTTTCCTCTTAAGTCTAACAGTGAGGAAAATGAGTTTAGCATAACCCATGAGACTCCTGCAGACACATGAACAAGGACTGATTCATAGCAACATTTAAAAACTATCCTCCTTGTGCATCAGGGTACTTATCTAACCGTGGTGAGCAACAGACCTTTTATATGAAGTTTGTAAATCTGATCATTTCCTTGTGGTTTTCTTTGATACAAAAGTGTGGCGTGACATTGATAAGTGGATTGGAAAGTATTGTCTTACAGCAGGGTAAGATGGAGTACGCGGCAGGCAGCAGAGGGAAATCTAAGCCCACTATCTACATGAGAGGAACCAGGAGAGCTCTTGAAATGCCTTCCTATTTCTGGCCTTCACTTGCTGCCAACAATGTATGAATGGTAATTTGAAGGAAAAAAATTGCATACAGTAACCCCAACCCTCTGTGGGTAATCAAATGAGATTGTTTTAAATTTTTCACTGACACATCAAGGTTATTCATTGTATAAATAACCTTACACGGTATATATAACTTCAAAGGTGACATTTGAGAAAATATAAAGTCAGCTCTATGTCACTTTGTGAGTGATTTTTGATTTTATTTAATGGTTTGGGGCCCAGAAATATCTTTTTAGTTATTTTCTCCTAAAGGTATGATTGATTTGTGAGAGAAAAGTACAGATATTAGTTTATAAACTTCTATAGCTTTGGAAGAAAATACTTTATAAAACTAATAGTTATCTTCATGTGATGAATATAGATTCAGTAACTTGTACTGAGGCTGACGCTGTATGATTTCAGATATAAGAGATTGAAGTGAAAAATCTAGTTGACTGAATTCACAATGACCTGCAGTTGAGGAGACCTGAAATCACTGTCCTTTCCACTGTTATATTATGAAAAGACTCCCAGCAAAGTGGAACTGAGTTGGTCCAAATTTGCTCCAAATCAACCGACATAGCTCTGAGCTTTTGTTTTCTGCTCTCTCACCCCAATTTTTTTTCTTTTAGATAGCTTTGACCGGACTGGGGAGGGGTGAATTTCTCTTTTCTCTAAATGACTCAAATCCTTGATCTTGAAGTCCAAACCCTAGTCATAAAAATAGATTCTGAGTTTTGCAGAAAGTATTGATATATCTTGTGATGGCATGCATTTTTAAAGAGAAGAGCACACACAGGTATGGGTGAAACATCACACTTCACTCTTCATTATTTAAAAAACAGAGAACATGAAGAAGATTCGAAAGAGCTAAAATCAGTAAAGACCTAGAAAATACAATTGAGAAGGAAGAATTTTAAATCTGAAATATTAATTAAAATGGGATAGCTCTTTCCAAGCAAAGATACCAAGAATCTTTAAGCCTGAGACACCAAATGTATGTGGGTGCTGGTGCCATTACCAAGCTGTTTGTCCAAGAGCCCCTCCCCTGCTACCCCTTGGTGGTTCTTGCAAAAGGGGCCATGCAGTGTACAGGTTCTTTCCATGCCCCTGCACCCACACACAGATGTGCACTGACGGCACCTCGCACCTCCACTGACCACGGCCTTTGAGGCTGTCTTTGGATTTGTGTAGCGTAACTCCATGTGTAAACAGTTTCAGTGCCCACATAGATGTGGCCTAAACAAATGGACACACGCAGGGAAAGATACACCCTTCTCTGCAGACTTGGAATGTTGCTATTCACACAATTGCCTCGTGCTGGGAATCCTGACAGGCAAGGACAGATCCTGAGGGCAGACCTTTCCCACCCTCAGGCCCCAGCCCCTCCAGGGAAGGCCAGGCTACCCGCTAAGCTCTCAGTCTTCCCATGTGCGAAGATGCAGCTTTTCTGGGCCCCTCCAGGCCCCACTGACTCCTGCCTCTCATCTCCTTTACAATGAGGATAGCTTCCTACCTCTGGAGCTTGTTCACAAACCTCAGTTTCATCAGACAAGATGTGCAGCCCTACCTGGGGGAGAGCAGCAGCTAAAGGAGAGAAGAAGAGGGGGCAGAGAGGAGAACAAAGCAGCAGCTGTCCTGGAGCTGCAGCTGGAGGAAGGAGAGGGGCGGGCTGCAGCGGGGAGGGGTTTCCTCCGTGGTTCTGGCCACAGAGCACAGCAGAGTGAACAATGCCAGGAGACAGGGAGTGAGGGGAGAGGAAACAGGAGCAGAAAAAGCAAGGGCAGAGTTAGATGACATCATGGAATGGGAAGAATGGAGTTTATTTAAAAGGGAGGAGAGCAACTGGCACATCATGTTGGTAAACACGTAAAGGTGGAACAGACATTCATAAAATAGCCCTTTACTTCTGCTGAAAAAGAACAAGACCTTCTGAGCTAACCCCACTCAAACTCATGGGAGCACAAGCTACAGGACCTAAGGTGGGATGAGCAGAGGGGTTGATGAAGAGGAAGACAAGGGGATACCTCAATAAGAAACACTCAGCTAGGAAAAGAGCGAGGCGATTTTTAAAAAGTCCTTTTGTGTCCTGTGATAATAGATAGTATTCCTATCACTGTGGCACACCTCTGCCTTGTCATATATGCCATACATCGCCCATGCTCCCCTGTGTCTGTCGTTGTGTAGAAACATCAATGATGTTGCCCTAAAGAACAGTGGGCAGACTTTCTTCTTAATTGGGAGTGATACGGAAATGAGTCAAAGAGGCTTGTGCATAATCAACTACCCGATCCTCAGTGTCTTCATGTTCCCATTCCTTTGGCAAAACCCCTCCTTTGGCATGGAGTGGGTAGGGTTTTTTGCTGGGAGTTTAATACTGGCCTTCAAAAACTGAAGAAGCTTTCATTTTAATATGCACAAGTAGCCAGAAGGAACCAATGTTCTGAAGCAAACACATTGGTGGTATATGTGCATTGATTTTCTTTCACATCTTAAGTATTTTTTCCTGCCATGAATACTTTGTATTAGGCATAAACAAGATAATGAAGGAGATGCTGCTTCCTAAATCAGGAAAAAATACTGGCAAAACCGTTTCAAGACATCTCACCCTCTTCCTTTGCTGTCTGATACTAAATATCTGTTTTGAGTCAGGCTAGGATAAAATGACAATTAAAGGTTTCCTGAAACCTCCTGATAACTGATTACTCCTAAGCCTCTGAGAAAAAGAAGTGTTTTCAAATATTCACTGTTAAAAATCTCATTTGAGAAATATCGTTTCTTCTAATGCTTCCGTGGCCAAGGAGATGTCATCCAAACTCTTTCTCTACCAAAGAAGCAACCGTCTTTAGTCCTGCAGAGATGTCAGTCATTCAAATATATTCTCAAGGAGGACATGTCTAACACAGTAGCATGTTAAAAGCAGCTGAAAATGTATCATTCACGAATAATCGTTAATATAACATCATTTTGCTGGGGGCAACTTGCAAACACTGCAGGGTTTAAATTAATAGCAATCCAACTAGGAAATGAAATCATTTATTATTCTTAAGAACCGATTTTATACATTTTATGCCTATGGAACTGCTTTCTAATCTTATTATTTAAAAAATAATGACCAAGACCCATTTATTCTTGTGCCAGGCATCAAACTTCATGAAATATTGGTCTCAAATTGGCTCCAGTAAGGCTCATTAAAAATATGTGCTCCATCTGTTTTACCTCATTGGAAGTTTTATAAAGTACAACCTCAGATAAATCAGTTAACAAGATGATGTACTTAAGAGATTTGCTTGCTTATTCATTTTTTTGTTTTGTGTTGTTTTTCCTTAAAATTTGCAGTTAAAAGGTACCAAGGAATTGGTCGAGACCAATGGCCACAGCCATGAGGATTCAAATGTAGGTACCACAAACCTGGTATTTGTTCTTCTTGCTTGATGTTGGTTGAACACATGGGGATGTGGCACTTTATCTACCACATAAAGGAAATCAGAAGCTCTGCCTCTCAGCAGCTTAAGATTAATATATAGGGTTTGGCAAGAAAATGTGATTGACAGGCACTGCTATTGTTAGCCTGGTTTATCAAATGTCAATTTAGAAGTATATGAGTTAATCCCCACCATCGAAAATTCTAATCTCAGTGAGTCTGTTTGAGCTCTTTGTATTTCCAAAACTGTAACTGATGATATACTGGGAGGGAAACGGAAAGACACCCGACAGGGTAATCAGTTGTGCATTGCATGTATATTCATTAAGTTTGCCTGCCAGCGAAGGTGGTACCTAAATGACTGACATGCTGAAACGGTCTCAGAGCAAACACCTTCTCTCAGAATAGCCCTTGAAATGTATTCCTTCTCTGTTCCTCACCCAGAACAGTAGCACAGTGCATCCATCTCCTTGATAGAGAATAATGTGTGATGGTACAAGATCCCAGTTACACCATGACTTCCTCTCTTAGTGTTCCTTGAATATCCAATTGTCAAAAAGTAAACAAGTATTCTTCTTGCCTTGAAAGTTCTTTAGTCTCAGATGGAATATTACACTGTGTAGATCATTGCCTCTCCATATGTTTGATGATTTTGTCTTTTTTAAATCTCTCTGATATCTGTATGTATTTGATTATCCTCATCAAAGAAAATGCTTACTAAGCAGTTCTTTTCACAGAACACAGAATTAGACATGATAATGAATGCCTGATTACACTAGAGCTAGGAGAAATTATATATTTCTTGTTCACTCTTGTTTTAATTATATACAACAGAGAGCCTAATATTCAGAGTATCAAAAAAATCCCACTTAATCATTATTGTTCCTACCCAGCAGATATTTAACATACGATGTTTATTGAGGACTTACGTGTTCATAGTGCTCTGCTAAGTTCTAGGGGAACAGAAATGGGGGTTACAAAGAAATATAAGACTAGTTGTCTGCCCTCGGGGAACTTATAACTGAGTTAAGGAATTAAGAAACACATGACAATATACAGGACATGGTAAGTGTACAGGAAGTTGAGGCAGCTATGATATGATGTAGTTTGAAATCCAGACTTCGCTGCTTATTACATGTGTTAGGCTGACAAGTTACTTAACCTCTCTGAGCTTCCTTTTTCTCACTTGCAAAAAGAATGGCAAAGCCTATCTCAAAAACATGTCATAATGTAATGAGCTAAGGCCTGGGAAGACCTTAAGGTGTTACCAGTATGGTTTCTGTTTTTCTTGGTTTTTTTTTTTAATTTAAGTTCTAGGGTACATGTGAACAACGTGCAGGTTTGTTGCATATGTATACATGTGCCATGTTGGTATGCTGCACCCATAAACTCGTCATTTACATTAGGTATATCTCCTAATGCTATCCCTTCCCCCACCACCTCCCCACAATAGGACCTGGTGTGTAATGCTTACCATCCTGTGTCCAAGTGATCCCATTGTCAATTCCCACCTATGAGTGAGAACATGCAGTATTTGGTTTTTTGTTCTTGTGATAGTTTGCTGAGAATGATGGTTTCCAGCTGCATCCATGTCCCTACAAAGGACAGGAATTCATCCTTTTTTATGGCTGCATAGTATTCCATGATGTATATGTGCCACCTTTTCTTAATCCAGTCTATCATTGATGGACATTTGGGTTGGTTCCAAGTCTTTGCTATTCTGAACAGTGCTGCCATAAACATATATGTGCATGTGTCTTTATGCAGCATGATTTATAATCCTTTGGGTATATCCCCAGTAATGGGATGGCTGGGTCAAATGGTATTTCTAGTTCTAGATCCTTGAGGAATCGCCATACTGTCTTCCACAACGGTTGAACTAGTTTACAGTCCCACCAACAGTGTAAAAGTATTCCTATTTCTCAACATCCTCTCCAGCACCTGTTGTTTCCTGATTTTTTAATGATTGCCATTCTAACTGGTGTGAGATGGTATCTCATTGTGCTTTTGATTTGCATTTTTCTGAGGGCAAGTGATGATGAGCATTTTTTCATGTGTCTGTTGGCTGTATGAATGTCTTCTTTTGAGAAGTGTGTGTTCATATCCTTTGCCCACTTTTTGATGGGGTTATTTTTTTCTTACAAATCTGATTGAGTTCTTTATAGGTTCTGGATATTAGCCCTTTGTCAGATGAGTCGATTGCAAACATTTTCTCCCATTCTGTAGGTTGCCTGTTCACTCTGATGGTAGTTTCTTTTGCTGTGCAGAAGCTCTTTAGTTTAATTAGATCCCATTTGTCAATTTTGGCTTTTGTTGCCGTTGCTTTTGGTGTTTTAGACATGAAGTCCTTACCCATGCCTATGTCCTGAATGGTATTACCTAGATTTTCTTCTAGGGATTTTATGGTCTAACATTTAAGTCTCGAATCCATCTTGAATTAATTTTCATATAAGGAGTAAGGAAAGGATCCAGTTTCAGCTTTCTACTTATGGCTAGCCAATTTTCCCAGCACCATTTATTAAACAGGGAATCCTTTCCCCATTGCTCGTTTTTGTCAGGTTTGTCAAAGATCAGATGGCTGTAGATGTGTGGCATTATTTCTGAGGGCTCTGTTCTGTTCCATTGGTCTATATCTCTGTTTTGGTATCAGCACCATGCTGTTTTGGTTACTGTAGCCTTGTAGTATAGTTTGAAGTAAGGTAGCATGATGCCTCCAGCTTTGTTCTTTTGGCTTAGGATTGTCTTGGCAATGAGGGCTCTTTTTTGGTTCCATATGAACTTTAAAGCAGCTTTTTCCAATTCTGTGAAGAAAGTCATTGGTAGCTTCATGGGGATGGCATTGAATCTATAAATTACCTTGGGCAGTATGGCCATTTTCACAATATTGATTCTTCCTATCCATGAGCATGGTATGTTCTTCCATTTGTTTCTGTCCTCTTGTATTTCACTGAGCAGTGGTTTGTAGTTCTCCTTGAAGAGGTCCTTTACATCCCTTGTAAGTTGGATTCCTAGGTATTTTATTCTCTTTGAAGCTATTGTGAATGGGAGTTCATTCATGATTTGGCTCTCTGTTTGTCTGTTACTGGTGTATAAGAATGCTTGTGATTTTTGCACATTGATTTTGTATCCTGAGACTTTGCTGAAGTTGCTTATCAGCTTAAGGAGATTTTGGGCTAAGAATGGGGTTTTCTAAATATACGATCATGTCATCTGCAAACAGGGACAATTTGACTTCTTCTTTTCCTAACTGAATACCCTTCATTTCTTTCTCTTGCCTGATTGCCCTAGCCAGAACTTCCAACATTATGTTGAATAGGAGTGGTGAGAGAGGGCATCCCTGTCTTATGCCAGTTTTCAAAGGGAATGTTTCCAGTTTTTGCCCATTCAGTATGATATTGGCTGTGGGTCTCTCATAAATAGCTCTTGTTATTTTGAGATACATCCCATCAATACCGAATTTATTGAGAGTTTTTAGCATGAAGGGCTGTTGAATTTTGTCAAAGGACTTTTCTGCATCTATTGAGAGAATCATGTGGTTTTTGTTTTGGTTCTGTTTATATGCTGGAGTATGTTGAACCAGCCTTGCATCCCGGGGACGAAGCCCACTTGATCATGGTGGATAAGCTTTTTGATGTGCTGCTGGATTTGGTTTGCCAGTATTTTATTGAGGATTTTTGCATTGATGTTCATCAGGGATATTGGTCTAAAATTCTCTTTTTTGGTTGTATCTCTGTCAAGCTTTGGTATCAGGATGATGTTGGCCTCGTAAAATGAGTTAGGGAAGATTTCCTCTTTTTCTATTGATTGGAATAGTTTCAGAAGGAATGGTACCAACTCCTCCTTATACCTCTGGTAGAATTTGGCTGTGAATCTGTCTGGTCCTGGACTTTTCTTGGTTGGTAGGCTATTAATTATTGCCTCAATTTCAGAGCCTGCTATTGGTCTGTTCAGGGATTCAACTTCTTCCTGGTTTAGTCTTGGGAGAGTGTAAGTGTCCAGGAAATTATCCATTTCTTCCAGGTGTTCTAGTTTATTTGCGTAGAGGTGTTTACAGTATTCTCTGATGGCAGTTTGTATTTCAATGGGGTCGGTGGTGATATCCCCCTTAACATTTTTTATTGCATCCATTTGATTCTTCTCTCTTTTCTTGTTAGTCTTGCTAGCGGTCTATCAATTTTGTTGATCTTTTCAAAAAACCAGCTCCTGGCTTCATTGATTCTTGGGAGGGTTTTTTGTGTCTCTATGTCCTTCAGTTCTGCTCTGATCTTCGTTATTTCTTGCCTTCTGCTAGCTTTTGAATGTGTTTGCTCTTGCTTCTCTAGTTCTTTTAATTGTGATGATAGGGTGTCAGTTTTAGATCTTTCCTGCTTTCTCTTGTGGGCATTTAGTGCTATAAATTTCCCTCTACACACTGCTTTAAATGTGTCCCAGAGATTCTGGTATGTTGTATCTTTATTCTCATTGGTTTCAAAGAACATCTTTATTTCTGCCTTCATTTCGTTATGTACCCAGTAGTCATTCAGGAGCAGGTTGTTCAGCTTCCATGTAGTTGAGCAGTTTTGATTGAGTTTCTTAGTCCTGAGTTGTAGTTTGATTGCACTGTGGTCTGAGAGACAGTTTGTTATAATTTCTGTTCTTTTATATTTGCTGAGGAGTGCTTTACTTCCAACTATGTGGTCAATTTTGGAATAAGTGCGATGTGGTGCTGAGAAGAATGTATATTCTGTTGCTTTGGGGTGGAGAGTTCTGTAGATGTCTATTAGGTCCGCTTGGTGCAGCGTTGAGTTTGATTCCTGGATATCCTTGTTAACTGTCTGTCTCGTTGATCTGTCTAATGTTGGCAGTGGAGTGTAAAGTCTCCCATTATTATTGTATGGGAGTCCAAGTCTCTTTGTAAGTCTCTAAGGACTTGCTTTATGAATCTGGGTGCTCCTGTATTGGGTGCATATATATTTAGGATAGTTAGCTCTTC